TACTAACAAAGGTTCGACCAAATAGTTAGCAAATGGTTACGACTATAACAAAATAAATATGAAATACAAAATGAGAGAGAAAATATTAATTTAAATAACATTGCTCAGATTCGAGCCGGAGCTATAGTTATTCTTGTGCGGCGTTGTGGTGGGCGTAACACTTGATGCCACACCCTCCAGCAGCTGCAGCAGCCTCTGTCGTGTGCGCTTATCGCTGACACAAATGCATTGTATCAGATTCGTCAGTTGTTTTGCGGAATATTCATCGCCCTGTCGTTGCTGTTCAATCCAGTTTTCGAACTGTTCCGGCGAGAAGTAATAGGACTTGATGAAGACATCCACGTAAGCGCGATGTTGCGGATACTTTTGATTCGAGATTAATTCAAGGAACGACATAAAATTAGCAAAATCCAATTGCATTAGTGCACGTCCACCAGCGGAACATTTCTTTACGTTGGAAAACCTAAGAACAAAAAAAAAAAAATTTGATCGGATTTCATAGGAATGATATAATAGCTGACTAACCCCTCTACCAGCAAATGTGTGACCACATGCGCCATTGAGTTCCACACATGTTTGCCAGGTATTGGCACCTCCTTCGCTATTTCCTCCAGGCACATGGCAAAGCTCTGAATGTTCTATAAAAACAAAGGATGTTGGAGCTGCTTAGATTATGGTTGATATTGTTATAGTTTAATCTATTGTACTTACGCGATTTAAGACATCGCTGTAGCTGCTATGCTGATGCGTTACATGATTCACATCCCACTTGACCTTCGCCATTTGCGCCAGTATGCCCGTCAGATCAATGACGCGAGATGTGACGCATGTGTAAACTGGTTTGGCCAGATCAGCCATAAATTCACCATATTCGAGATAATTAGTTAAAGTTGACCGCTCGGCAGCAGGCAATAGATGATTCAAGTAATGCTGGAGCACATTAAATTGTTGAAACATGCTACGTCCAGCCTCAACGGCCACAATGCGTTGTGTTAGACCGTAAAGCGTGTCCGGATTAGCCAGCTCATTGTTGGTCTGCAAATGAATGAAACTTTAATAGTGAACTTATGCCCATTTTTTTGCGCTGTTACCAAAGATGAAAAGTTCAGCGGCCAAACTTTTATCTGAGTAAGCACATTCGTCTCCACGGCCCGAAGACGCTGCTCCAGACGTGGGGTATATAGATTATCAGTGGCCACCAGCTGCGAAATTTGATAGCATAAAATGGGATCTATCATGCACAAACCCTTCTTACCGCATCCCTGCCGAATATCTCATGCACTGCATACGCATAAAAATCGAGCAGCTCCAGCATGCATGATACTATCTTGGGTGAGATGCAGTGCAGCAGCTTGCACATTTGCAGGTAGCGTCCAATGCAACGCAGCACATTTAAGGCTGTGTTGTTCACAAGCAGTTGACTGGCAAAAGCAACAAATTTAAATAACTTTTATCATTGAAATGTAACGCATCGACTAGACACTTACTTGCTGGCATCATCGGCAAACTCTTTGCTCTGTAGACTCTTTTGCTCGTCGTCGCTTTCTTCGCTAAAATAGCACGAGGCCTCATCTACAATGCCCGACAGTATGTCCTCCTCTAGCATGGCAGCATCGAGGCCACCATCAAAGGGCGAACTCTTCTCCGAAAAGCGCAAAAAGTAGCCATAGGAACCATAAATGGAACTGCCGCCGCCATCCTGTGAGTGCACAGAGACCAACTCGTCACAGTTGTTATTGCTAATGGGCGAGTTATTGGCCGAAGCTAGCAGCGCTGTCGTTGGGGATTTGTGACGACGCAACGTGTGTCGCACCGAACGGAATTCCTGCATAACACATAAGATTATTAATAATGGCAAAGCATTTGGCATTTAGTGCTATGCTACCGGCAACTGCAATATGTGCGAAAACGAGTCCAGCGGTGTCCAGGACTCATTGTCCAAGAACAAGCAAATCTCCTCGACGCAGCAAATGTGATAGCGTTTGAAGAACTCCTCGCTCTGCTGCTGCATGGTCGCAATTAGCTTCTCTGACTGCTCACCGCAAAACTCTACGCCCACCTTCTTCAGGCGCTGCACTATGGACAGTACCTGTATGAACTGATCATACTTGAGCGTCTTCAGCTTAGCACTCTGCAGAAACAGGCAAACTTTGTTCAGTATATCGTTCCAGATGCGAGACTGGCCCTTCTTTAGTTTTTGCTGTATATAAAGATCGGGTGACTCGCCATCTGTGTCCTCCTGCTGTGCATACAGCTTGTAGTTGTTGTGCCACATGACCACCTGGTAGTAAGAGGCTAGAATGTTCCAGAAGGTCTTGCACAAGCTAATCAGACAGGGTATAAGTTTATCTGAATTGAGTTGCTCGCATAGTTGCTCATAAAGCAGCTTAGGTTGCTCCTCGGCATTCGGCTCACTGTAGCCACGCACCACCGCATTCACCGTGGAGTGTACCGCAGAGATGTAGTTGATGTGCAACTGATCCATGGCAATCAGTGACTTGTTGGCTAGCTTATAAGCCTCCTGCAGCTTGGCATATTTGCGCATGTCAAAATTTAGCACCATTTCGTTAAGCACGGTATCCAGCTGATACTCCATCAACAGCATGGTCTCCTGCAGCTTTTTGTGCAGCGACTGCACGCAATTATATTGCATGAATCCCGCAGCGGAGCTCTGGCACTGCAACAAAAGCGCTATAGCTGCAGAATAGTTGTGGTCAGCCAGCAGCTTTTGCAGCTCCTCATCTGTGGTGCGCTTTATGGGTGGCAAACAGAGCACAGTCGGTATTACTAAATCCGGGAGAGAGCGCAAACATTTACTTACCAACTTTTTAATGGCCATTAGTGTGTCAAGCACTTCCTTGAGCACCTCGCGCTTGCGATAGCTCGCTAGGATCTCCAAGCTGTTCGTTGTTAAATTTGTACGTGCGTAATTCAAGTAAGAGCGCGCCTTTTGACATGTCCACAGTGATTCCTCTAGTTTCTTTTGGGTCTCATTGATGGCCTGAAACTCGCTATTGCATGCATTGCGTTGTTCCAATATGTTCTGAAGCACCTGCTTGGTCAGCACCTTTTGCTGTGTGCGCAGCTGAGCGATGGTCGACTCAATTAACTGGTTGTCAATGCCAGCGCCGAGAACTTTCTGTAAAGAGTTGGACAATTGGATTTTACTAAAAATTGGATCATGCCATTGCCTACCTTAAGCTCGTATAGCTCCGGATTGCTATCGGCGCTGTAGTAGCACTGTTCAATGCTCTCCAAAATTTCCTGATCCGATTTTTGTGCGGCCACTGCAGCATCTTTAGCATCCGCATCTGCACTTTCTGCTGCCGCCACCGCTGCTGCTGCTGCTGCTGCTGTTGTTGTTGTGCTGGGCAAAGCATCCGTTGTGACGGTCTGTATGAAATAATCGGAAAATCCCATTGCAGGAATTTTCATTTGTCGATTCGTCTGCGGGGCGAAAGTATATTAGCCTCTGTCCGTTCGCTGGCCGCTTGTTGCACCTACCTGTTTGTGCAGCATGTCCATGAACCTGGTCTTAAATTCGTCCATTTTGGCCTTGGAGTTCTGCATTTTGCAGCCATGAAAACCAGAAAAATTACGCGAAACAAACTTCGCCTCTCTCCCACTTCTAAACAATGGCTACACCGATATTAATGTTATCGATATGACTATTATTATCGATACTTGCACACTTACTATTGGCAGTGTTAAGGTAGTATAGTATGCTGCTCCTCTGCAAGCTGGTTAACTGCAGTTTTAAATCAAATAATAGTGTTATTTATTTCTTGGTTTCAGGGGAGCAAAATATATGACGAAACCCTAATTAAATTAAACAAAGAACAGCTGAATAGCTTTATGGCAGACATATATAAATACATATGCATATATTTGGAAAATACCAAAATCCAATTGGATTATTAATAGACCAGATCCTGTGCCTAAAAAAAATATTTAAAAAGTAACGAACAACTAGAGTATCTAAGATTCCATACATTTTTATCAACCAATATTACATTATTTTTACTATCCAAAAATCATAGACATATTATATATTAAAAAACTGTAAACTAATTAAATATTTATTCATATAATCCTAAGATTCATCCATCACAGTTAGTCAAGACGAACCTCCCACCGCAATTCGTCCATTACAGTGATGATATCGCCAACATATAGACGTTGTGGTTCCCGAATTGCAAGACCATTTACCTTGAGTACAGCCTGACGTCCAGCACATGGAAATATCTCCACAAAGCTCTGCCTCTCCTCTAGTACTCCACGCAGAAGAAACCAGCAGAAGGATTTCCAACGTATTGTTTGCATTCCTGGTTGAATATACCGCATCCACATTTCGTCACAGTTGAAGAGAAACCAGCGGTATTTAACCACAGGATTCGCAGTCAAGTTGTGAGATGAAGATGAGCCATGTGTTGGCATTCCTGTTTGCCAATTTATGTTGGATGCCGTCGCATTACCAGACGCTGATGATTCATAAGGAGTCGCTGGTGTCACAAGTGTGCGAAGTGTGTGATTAGCTGAGGATTCTAGAAAAACCAAGTCTTTAGAGAACGACATGCTTGATTGAAGCATGATCAAAGAATGCTTGTTTGAATTTTGTAAGCGGCCCATAATAATAATTTAACAATTCGTGAAATTATATACTAACAAACATTTTTCTCAATGCGAGTTTAGATTAGGGAATTCCAGCGAATTAATTATTTATTTGTTTTTTTTTTTGCTATACAAAATAATATACATACATGAAGCATTAATTTGACTGGCCCATAATTTGTTCAACTTAAATGTTAATCTATTTCAACTGAAACCAAGCTGATAATACATAGTTTTGCTTCTTGATTCGTTGTCAATCTTTTCTTGGGTTCTTCCTCATTGTACCCTGTACGCATTAAAATAGAAAAAATTGTGTTTCGTAGAATTGAAATTGGAAAAGTTGTTGGTGTTAAAGATGGGCAGAGAAAAGAAAATTCGATCCCATCCCGTCTCACATGAAACATACATTTATTGTCCTGTTCCGTCCTGATTTAATATTAAAATATAAATACAAAAATTAACAAAACTTCAGAGGGTTATCAATACCAATCTCCGATCTCTGGTTGGTAAGGATTGATTTATAGGGTATATAAAATTAAATAAGTTATACTTAATGCCTAGATAACGCAGTAACGCATTAGACACTGTCGCGCCTTCCACTTATTGCCGCTGGCTCGGTAGATTAGATGAAGATTGAAGGCCACCTCATGCTGCAGTCCCAAAACCGAGTCATGCTTCTTTATCAGCGGATGCTGTGCGGCCAAAGCGCGCTCATAATAATCGGTAGCCAGATGCAGAATGTTTGCCTGATGATAGATGCGTCCAATGTTGTAGTAGATCTCCTGCTGGGCAGCACTTGAGTCTGGTACATCGTTGCCTTTGTCAGGGCTGCCCCCTCCACGCAGTTCCGCATAGCGTAGAGCAAATGCTACCGCTTGGGCAACAGCTGCCGATTTGCGCAACACCTTCTTCTGCAGCGCCAGCTGGTTAAAGACAACGGCTATAGAGAGGGCGACCAGCGGATGCGGTTGCTCGCGCAGTATGGGCACATAAACATTCAGGGCATACTTGTACGAGCTGCAGTTGAGGTGGTAGTGGCCCAAAAACAGGCGCATGGGCTGGGTGACTTTCGGATGACGCTGGAGCAGACGTCGTGCGTACCGAAAGTAGCGCACCTCATCGCCCTGCTGCACCATCAGCGACAGCATGTTCCACAGATTGACGAGCTCCGGCTGCTTGGCAATCAGCTCGCGCAGATACGAGAATCCGATGGCGCAGTCGTGATTAAAATAGCAGGCGAGAATCATTAGGCGCTCGATCTCGTAGTGATAGTAGGTGAAACGCTTCGTGGTCACCATGGCGAAGCAGATGCGCTCAATGGCGCTGTGCATGCCATGCGCATGGGCAGTGCGCACCAGTTCCAGGAACAGATCGTACTCGTTCGTAATGGTCAGATCGGAACCCTCAGCATTAGCAGTGTTCTTCAGTGTGTCCTGTCAAGAATTCAATTTATTGTAACTTCAAGTGAAATACTCGTTTCACCCACCTGTTGCTCCGTTTCAGTGCCGCTCGCCACATCGGAGAGGCTGCGCATTTGCATGATAGCCTTGAGGCCCTCGGTGTTGTAGGCGCCGCCGCCATTGGAAGCGGCCATCATCTCCTCGCGATTCTTCAGCTTGATCGAGTGTCGGCCCAGTAGCACATAGCCAACATCAAGAAACTCATCGATGCGGTTGATCTGCTGCAGCATTATGCAGCGCTCGTAGAGCAGGCGCGCATGCAGTGGCTGTCCCTCCTGTTCGCCAGATTGCTCTAGTGCCTTGACCGCCTCCTCCGGTCTGCCCTGCTGCTTGAGCAGTGCCGACAGCGTGAACTTGGCCTCATAGCAATACGGGGCCAGCTGCACAACACGCCCATAGCTCTGGATGGCCTCCTGGGTGCGATTCAGTTGACGCAAGCACTCGGCCTGACGCAGCCAAACGAAAGCGGGACAATCAAAGGAGTCGGCATCGGTAATGGGGCGCATTAGAGCAATCGCCTCGGCATATTTGTGCTCCTGCATCAGCGCCTCGGTAATGTCCATATACAGTTCCAGGCGATCCACAGTCGGTGCAATATGCTCCTGCACATTCTGCACAATATAGCCGAGCAAATGATGTGCGTGCATGTGTATGAGGCTGACGCAGAGCTTGGCACGCAGCTCGGGCACATAGTCGTCGGGTATGTGACAGAAGTAGATGAGCTCCAGGCTCTCCTGCTCCGTCTCCAGCTCCAGTTTGGTGCGCTCTCGCAAACAGCGCAGCACTTTGGTGTATTGCTTATTGAGTATGAGCAGCTCTAGATAGATGTTGAGATCCTCGACTGAGAAGCGTGCGCCACACACACAGTACGTGCCCTCCATAGCCTCTAGTGCAATGCTGTGCTTCTCGAGCACATGGAAATAACGTGCCACATTTTTGCCAGTGGTGAGGCACAAGCTCCACTCACCCGACGGCATAAGCGGCAGCATTTTCAAGTACGTAAACATTGCCGCATTTGTCTCGCCCATGCGCTCCAAGAGCTGTGCCTTGCGCAGCCGCAGCAGATAGTCCTTGGGCAGCACTTTGATGGCTTTCGTGTAGCAGACGCGCGCGCGTGCCAGATGTCCTTGCTGCACCAGTAGATCCGAGATACGTATCCACATGTCACGATCCTGAGGATTTAGATGCGCTGCTATTGTGGAAAAATGCAAGAACTTGACCTCATCGCGATTCTCGTAGATCTCGGCCAGCGTGTAGAAGGGCTCGCTGGCCAGAGGATTCTGCCGTATGATTTCCATGCAAATGCGCTCGGCCATATCGAAGCGTCCATATGCAAACGACAAATTCGCCTCGCCCATGAGGCCTACCAAGGCGGCACTCAGTTGACTGCGGCGACCCAAACTGCCACCGCCTCCGCCACCGCCACCACCACCGGATCCAGTGCGGCCGCCAAACGTGTTCTTCGACTGCGCCTTCGTTGGGGTCAATTGCCTAGCAGCTGCTGCAGCGGCGCTCGTGGAGGCCTCTGGCTGTTCATTGCTCTTTTTGGCCGCCAAGTGTGCTGCCTCGTCATCGTCCTCCTCGTCGCCGGGTTCGAGTTTGGTGCAGAAATCGGGAAACTCCAGGCACTGAACGCCCTGCACATAGCGTCTGATTAGTGCGCCTTCCTCAGCGGCCGCCTTTGCGGCTTCGCTTGACTGCGACGCCGGGTCTTCGTCTTCCTCCAAGTCGATGATTTCCACTATGCGCAGCGGTTCCGTCAGCTCAAACTGTGCTAATTCGTTCTCCGGCACATCGTTGCTGTCGATTTCCTCTATTAGCACTTCATTCGCATCTAGTTTGCAGTTTTTATCTGCTTGCGGATTCTCGCTCATTTTCTTTCTTTTAATAAACAGAAAACATATGTTTTTGGCGTCGCAAAACTTAACATTTTAAAGAACTGTTGTTAACATAGCCAAACAGAGATGCGCATAATTGTCTTATAAAATATCGATATTTACAATTGATATCGAAAACACTCCAGCAAAAATGTTCGTAATGAAATCAGTAACAGGAAATTATTCATATACAGAAAATAATTATTTTTAATAATTTCTGTTTTGAACAGAACACAAAACTGATTTGTAAAAAAATATTAAACAATAATTCTTTTAACGTTCACATATCCTTTCATAAAACTATATAACATTATATTAAGATAACATTCAGTTGAAAAACTGTTCCACAACTGTTCCATGATTGTAAATATGTAGCTTGTAGGAGTAGACGTGCATGCATTTCTGTATGCTGAGCACAAGCGGCTCAAATGGATGGCAAATGAAGGCACATAGCTCGCGTGGAGTGAATTGACTGGGCGGCCTGTGCGCCTTGGTGTTGAAGCGAAACTTGATTAAATTGGTGGCGCGATCGCGGAATACAATGGGCTCCACGGAGCAGGCCTTCGGACGTTCCAGTGGAGAGATGAGCTTATCATCATAACTAAACACATTGTAGTTAAGATATGGGGATGTTGAAAAGCTCTGCGTGCTGACCGGCACGCTGGGATTGTAGCGCAGCGCTGCTTGACGCATAAAAGGCGCCGACTTGTTGGGATTTATGCAATTCTGTTGCATAAAATAGTGCGAGGAGGGCGAGGAAGGCGCATCGCCCGTTTGTAGCGAGCGCACATTGCACAATTTATCATAAAATTGCACCACTATTTGCAGAAGATCCACGGAATCATCATGGTAGACGCCAAGCACATCCTCACTGCTCATGCCATAGAAGACATAGAGACGTCGCGGTGGCTGTGGCTCGCCCGTCACCAGAATGGGTGTCACATCGGTGTCCTTTGGCCGTTCCTCGTAGCGCAATAATAAGAAATCGCTGTCGATTAGCTGCATTTTTTCAATAATCATGTTCTCTATCTGTAAGTATTATAAAGTGAGAGCTTTTATATGGAGCAAATGCGAATCGATTCAGCGCTCGGACACTTACGAAATCAAAATTCTTGTAGAATTCCTGATATTTTTGGCTCGCTTGTGGGCTATCCGGTTGTATCTGGCGGTACAGGAAACTCAACACTCGTTGCTTAATGTGCGTAATGGGCAACAAGGTATTCACATCCAACATGACCATAAACATAGACGAGACGTCTTGGAATGCACAATGGAGAGGCCTTGGACCGATTTCGTGCTCCTGTTTTATCAGCCGACCGTTGACCAGCTCATATATATAAATACTTTGGCGCAGTCGTGACAATATTGCTATGGTGTGGCCATGCACTGAGATGCCGTGATTGTGTGACAAGGATATGGCATCCTGAGGGAGGCGCACTTCATCAGTAACAATGCCTTGATGCAAGTCCACAACGTAGAATATGTACGAGAAGGGATCGACCTTATCGAAGACATCCGGATATCGTTCGTAGTCAGAGACAGCCAGGTTGCACCCCTGTAGTATGCACATCCCGGCCAGCAGCACATAGCGACTGTCCTCTAAAAAAACGCTAAACTCCCGATGCAGATAGAAACGAGCCGAGTCGCCTTGGCATAGACGCAACACGTATTTCGGTTTAAAGAGCTGCTCAAATATTGTACTTCTCAGATGGTTGCCATCTATTCTATCAATGTACGTCTCGGCGCTGCCTACGCCAGCCTCGCTTAACAGCTGACTAACGCCAGATGTGCCTAAGCCTTTGTATAAGTACACTGAATTCAAATATATATATATTTATATAAATTATGTTTATCTCTATTGTCAAAAGTATTCATAACTTGCCAATAAATGAACGCTGGTCGTGGGAGAAAGCCAACAGCTTGCTGCCGTCCGGCGTGAATTTGCGCAGATAAACAGGTGGTATTGAGATTCCAACCGTTAGGCAAGGGGTGATTGCTTTGTAGAACTGGCGCTCATGTGATAGTTGAGGCGTTTGACTGAACTTATTTCGAGTGAAGCCCGATTCCCTATTTTGCAGCATATGCACAAGATTCTGCGTTTGCATACGCTGGTCAAACGAAAGTTTTTCCAAAATCATAACAAAATATTGCAAACAGAAAACGTAAATAACAAACGATATCGATATCGATTAGATTATCGCATAGCAACACAGTCAAAACAGTGCTACATAACGTATCGGAAAGTTCGCAGCCAACTTCACGTGTTAGAGGCGCGTTGGCAAATTTGGGCTTGTCGGATTTTAAACCTAACGTGAATTCAAAATTGACAATTTAATAAACTAAGTGCAGATTTAATTTTTCATAATTATTGTTTACATAAAGTTTGTGCTCGTACGAATCGAGATAGAGTGACTGTTATCGTTTAAGCATAGTGTTGCAAAGGAATATCAATTGCTGCAGCACTTGAAGTTGCCTGCGATCAATGCCAACTGAAGCCAGATGGCGCCTGTAACGGTACTTGCTGCGTCTACACTTGAACCCGACTATTTGTATATTTCTCGTGAAGTTTACCAAGTCTCTCCTTATGTATTGTCTGTGTGATTGTATATGTAGTTTGGTTGTTGCAAAATGAACGCGAACGAAATAACACGTGAATCGAAATCGGTAATTTAAGTGTAAGGAGAACAACCTTACAACTCCTTTATATTTGTGTTCGTGCGTTTATTTTGCAGATGGACTTGCAATTATCAACAATTACCAGCTTGGTAAAATGTGGGAAGCCGGGCCTCGAAGTCAAAGCCAATGTCCGCGTGCGCAAGAAGTTTAGCGACGACGAAGAAGATTCGTCGACACCAGATGATGAAGAAGAAATGCAGAAAAACAAGTGAGTACAAATAAGTGAACAAAATTGCAAATATAAAATGCGCTGTTTGTCTTGCAGATTTACTGCTATCATGCGCGCTCTGCCCCACTATGAGCCTAGTCAGACCTTGTTACAAGCTTTGGACGTCGAATTTACCGACGAAAGCTTGGCAAAACATGACACCACTTTCGGTACATACCTGCAGACGCAGCTCCTGGACTCAGAGAATGTCTGCTCAGTGCTGAGTATACTGCTCAGCATAGAGGATGTGTCGACAATGCAACTTTATGCCCAGCTTATGCAGCCCAATGTTCTGCTAAAGAAAGTTCAAAACCATTGCTTTAGCTTTGTGCTGGGCAAGACACAAATCAATCCAGAGGAGGTTCTTGCGCCTTATTTGGACGAGGCTGTACTTATACCTAAGGCTAGCTTAGAGGCAGCACCTCTGCCGAAACAGCCCATCCTAGCGCTACTACCGCACGCTCACGAGACTCTGCCAATAAACAATCCACGGCGCCGTTACGTTGCAAGCTTAGAGCAGGTGACGCGCACCAGCATCCATCTAAAATTCAAACGGGGCGGCTTTCCAGCCAGAGAATCTGCGCTTGAACAGCGTTACCATGTAATCCTGCGCTCACGCCGTACGCCCGTTCGCTTCATGTATCGTGCGATGCAGCTGCTTCAGGAGAATCCACAGCTGCGTCGCTATTTGTTTCCCATCCAGGGGCTGCAAACAGTGTCACCCAAAGTGACTAAATTACCAAATCTGACGCTATTTAACCAGAGCATTGCGTCTAACATGGAACAGCTGCAGGCAGTACAACATATCGTTAATGGCCCCAGCAGCCTAGCGCCCTACATAGTGTTCGGACCACCTGGTGAGCTTAGAAAAATCCTTAGATTAGGAGGATCAACAATATATAAATAATTGTTTATTTTCGTTTACAGGCACCGGCAAGACCACAACAATTGTCGAGGCCATTCTACAGTTGCGACTTCGACATCCAAGAAGTCGCATTCTTGTAACTGCCGGTTCGAACTCGGCCTGCGACACAATTGCCTTGAGAATATGCGAGTATTTTGCTAGCAATCAACGTCTGCAGGCGGTTTTGGTAGAGCGGGCCAAAGAGTCGCGTTTGGTTACGGAGGACGTGGAGCTAGATCATCAGTTAATGCGTCTCTTTTCGCGATCTATCTACTCCAAAGGATTAAATTCAGTAGACCCTCTGCTCCTAAAACATTCTAATTGTAGAAAACGTGTGTATGAGCATTCTAATGTGAACAGATTACGCAAGTATGGCATACTTGTGGCCACACTGTGCACAGTGGGCCGTCTAGTGACCTTAAATGTGGGCAAATTTAACTTTTTCACACACGTTTTCATTGATGAAGCGGGCGCTTCCACGGAGCCCGAGTCGCTTATTGGTATAATGGGAATTAAGCAGCAGGACGCTTGCCATGTGATACTCTCGGGCGATCACAAGCAGCTCGGCGCAGTAATTAAGAACAATCGCGCAGCGCTTTTGGGCCTGAGACACTCGCTAATGGAGCGTCTGCTGCGCTGTGAACTATACGCCGTGGATGCCAATGGGAATTATGATCACACATTGCAGACGCGACTACGCCGCAACTATAGATCCCATCCGGAAATCGTTGGGCTGTATAATAAGCTGTACTATAATGATGAACTCATACCACAGGCGCCGCCAGAACAGGTCAATCTAGCAGCCAACTGGCGTATGCTGCCCAATACCGAGTTTCCGATTATATTTCAAGCCACGCATGGCGTGACAACGCGCGATGGTCACTCCACCAGCTCATATAATATGCTAGAGGCACAGGTGCTTTGCTGGTATGTGAAGCATTTGCTCTCTAACGGCCTTGGCGGTGGTATTCGCGTGCAGCAGAAGGATATTGGCGTCGTGGCACCGTATGCGGCGCAGTGTAATTTTATCAATCAACTGCTGCGCCGTCAGGGCCACTACAATGTGGAAGTGGGCAGCGTGGAGAACTATCAGGGTCGGGAGAAAACTGTGATAATTGCCACGCTTGTGCGCTCCTTTGCCAGCATAGGCTTCATGCGTAATCCGCGCCGATTGAATGTGCTTATCTCGCGTGCCAAGTCTTTGATGATACTCATTGGCAATCCGGTGACGCTACGCTATCATCCCGACATAAGGTACATCATCAACCAGTGCAAGTTGCATGGCAACTATTTGTTTAAAAAAAAGGACGGCCTGCAGCGCCCTGAGTTCCTTAATGATTTTGTTGGAGAAGAGATCGAGGGTAATGGAGATGAATTGGATAACGAAGTGAAGCTTTGGTATGCCAAGATGCCGCAAGACATTCCCGTAGCATTGTGCCCACAGCAGGCCGCAATTATAACGGGTAAGTTAATGGGTGACAATATAAAATCCCAACAAATATAATCATGTGCTATAAAAAGTGTTTTCCACAGATGACAGCAGTAGCGGCAGCAACTCAGAAATTACTGAAGCGCTTTCCGAAAGCAGCAGCTCGTGTGATTCTTCTAGCTCCGCCAACTGTCAATGCACACCACCTCCAAATGAAGCGCTGGATTCGCATATGGCTAAGCTGGCCCTAGGCAGTCCCGAAAAGATTGTCATTCGCACCAATTTCTTAAAGGCGTGCGCCGCCTGCGCAATAGAAATTACCAAGCAAAAACTGCTGCAGCTGCAGTAAGTTAAGCACAAACATTTATATCTTTAGTGTTGCAATTTGACTGCTCTCTCATTAGAAATCGCTTCAGAGGGGCCTGTAAGATGTCTTAAGTTCCAATTCAATTTTATTCACATTTCCTAAAAAGCTTAATCTCCAGTTTGCAGGTTTCAAGAGTTGTTCCCTTCGTGTTCACCAGAACATTTGAATATTTGTTGTCAATTTACTTTTGTTTTATATTACTTTCATATTTTTTCCAGTATGTATTCATTTAAGTCAAGATTAAAGTTGCTGGGTCAGCTTAGTTGAAACAGTTCTATATTCAAGGACTTTTTTCGTATTTTTTTCTAATCGTGTGCACAAAAAGTGTATTATTTTAATGCGTCCTCAGGAGCACTTTTTATTATTACATTTAAAATGTCTGTCGAAAGTCTTCACACGGCTGTGAAGTAAAAGAAAAAATTGATTTGTTGAAAAATTGAACATGTAATAGCTTTAAGTATATCGAGATGACTTTCATGAATGTCTAGGTTTAGTAAACGCCAAGAATTAGTTTCCCTGAATTTTAAAACTTATTTTATCGAATACAAAACGCTTTTGAAAAATACTAAAACGCTTAGAGAACGGTTTCAAAATAAATTTAAACGAATTGAAATACATATGTGAAGCAAATCCATTTATTTGATGATTTCTATAAAGTAGAGTTAAATATGGTGTTTCTAGATTATATTTAAGCAGTGACTATTAAATTAGTAAACAGTTTACAAAATACAAATACAATTGAAGTGTTTGCTTAAGATTTCGAAAAATGTTCGATTTTTATTTTAATAGTTCGTTTAATTTTGTTTTCGAGTGCTTTCAATGCTTTTCGTTTAAATTCGTTCAGTCTTTGTTATTTAACAACTTGGTTAAAAGTGTTTAATGTTATGCATTAATAAAAGAAAAGAAAACTACATTCGTAATTACAATTAAGAAATATTGGAAAAATAAAATGCCAATTTTCTTGTTATTTATGATTAATATTATATTGCATATTTTTTTGATCGATTTCAAACCTTTACGTTTTTTTTTTATTATTATTATTATTAAAATATATTTAAGTAGCATATTGCATTTAGGGTATACATATATCAACGAGCTCTCAAAAATTGTTTGCATGTAATAACTACATTTGGTATAAGAACCTCCTTCGTTCCCACAACCCGTTTCTGCCAAGCCAGCCAACAGGTTAGTTCCGACGCCGCAGCTCATTGTTGTGAGTGTGTATGTTTGTGTGTGCGCGACTACTACAACTACAAATATTAGTTCCTTGAGCTTAGAGCACGACGCGTCTAACGCCGCAATCCATACAAAATTTAGCGTGCTCTATGACGAACTTGGCGCCACATTCGTGACAGAACTTGGACATTTTCATGCTCGAGCTCATGCCCGAGGAAACATTTGAGGTGTTGCTCTGCAGCGAAAGCTGCGATGTCGTAGGCGTTAAGTTCACACCCACACCACTATTTTTGTTTTTGCTTAAATTCTTTGCGTTAAGCTCATAGTTATTGTTGTCGTTGTTGTTGTTGTTGGTATTGTAAGCTACCTGCGCTTGAGATTGCTGCTGCTGCTGCTGGTAGTTGTAGTTTGTGTTTTGCTGCTGCTGTTGCGGTTGCTGGGCCACTGTCACAGGTAGCGAGTGCTCCGAGCTGCTGCTGGAATATTCAACGTTGCCATCGCCAGTGTCGCCGCCTAGGCCGTTGCCTGCAAACATGCGCTGGCGAGCCTTGAGTGTACCATAGTTGCTTGCCGCTTGAGTGGAGGCATCCATCATGGACTGCTTGCCGGACAAGGCTCCACTGGCTGTGTGCGGGCGCAATTGGCTCTGAGTGCGCGGCGTGTTGTTGTTGGACTGCAGCTCGCTGGAGCGTTGACGGGATAGACTATATGGTGAGTTGCTGCTGCATGATTGAAAATAAAAACATGTTTGTCAGAATAAAACGCTGTTAAAATTGTGATTTAAAAAATATCGCATATCAAAAGAATGGGTATCGCACCTACAAGCTACATAAATTTAATATATCGATAGGCCGATGCCATCATTAATCGATAATGGTAAATATTACCACTAACCATACAATGCATAGACTTGTCAAATGTCAAAATAATCGGATACCGATAAATCGTCAACGACTGAGCCCCATGGGTGACCGCGACCATTTTAGTGTGCCCAGACAAAGTAAGACTGCTGAGAGTGGCAGCCGAACGCCGGCCTCGACAGCCGAACGTTCAGTATGAAGCCGCATCCCGCTCAGCGCACAACGTTGCTGCGGCTGATGCTGTTTTGTAATATATGTATCTTTTCAGCCCAAATACATACATATGTGTATATGCGTGTGCAGAGTGCCCCTTGCTCACACTTATTGCTTTGCGCACTTGTGTGCATCTCCTTCTCCCTGCATAGCTTCTCAAAAACCCCGAGATCTACAAACATACATACATATGTTTGTGTTGTGTGGGTGTGCTCACAAGTAGATCGCGGCGTTTGTCGCGAGCCAGAGATTTTTTCTTCAATTGTGTGCCCTTTGTGCCTGTGGTGGCAAAAGGCACACACATTCAAATGCTCTATCATGTATTTCTTCGTCCAGTCAGGCATAATGAGAAGAATCTGATATATTTATATTCATTAAAAACTTAAATGACCTAAATGATATATTTATATATTATATTTTAATTTTTTTGTTTACTGTGGGGACCAATTTTGCTTAAAATTAAAAAAAAATAAGTCGTATTTCTGCAAGGGTAATGCTTCGTCGGCTTGTCGAATAATTTAAGAAAAGACCAAACATTGAAAATGTTCAATTTTTTCGACTTGCTACTTGTGCACACGCACACTCTTTCGAGTAAGCAGTTGTGTGACATTATTAAAGGGTTTGGCCTGTTCATGTGCAAATCTCCTATTTTCCATGCATGGTGTAAGGGTAAGGGTACCTGAACGTTGGCATGTGTGCATAATAACTTTTTGGGCCTGCCAAGCACACATACTTACACACTTTTCTATATGGATGGAAGCATTTATGCGTTTGTGTGCGTGTTGGTTGCCTGCCTGCCTGCCCGATGCAAATTTGACCAAATTTGAAGTTTTTGGCATTTCTGAATTTCGAGCTCACACACAGACACACACACACACACAAATGTGTGCGAATGAGCCGATCAAGGGTTTGTCGTGAGACAGAGATATTTTCATCAATGGGTGCGTAAATTTGGGCGACGGTGGGCTTGCGGCTTGCGTAAGGCACAAATGTGTGAACAAATGGACAAATGGATGCAGACGCATGCTGGACATTCTGATCGTTTATTGCCTGCCATAACACCCTTTAACCCAAAATGTTTACTATGTCAAAAAATAAATAAAAAGATCACTTGCATTTTTTCCATATCAAAGTGCAAACGAGCGGCAAGTGCGGTTCACCTGTTTTCGTTGCCTGTTCACACATGTGTGCCTTACGCGGCCGCAAGCCCACCGTCGCCCAAATTTACGCACCCATTGATGAAAATATCTCTGTCTCACGACAAACCCTTGATCGGCTCATTCGCACACATTTGTGTGTGTGTGTGTGTCTGTGTGTAGAGCTCGAAATTCAGAAATGCCAAAAACTTCAAATTTGGTCAAATTTGCATCGGGCAGGCAGGCAGGCAACCAACACGCACACAAACGCATAAATGCTTCCATCCATATAGAAAAGTGTGTAAGTATGTGTGCTTGGCAGGCCCAAAAAGTTATTATGCACACATGCCAACGTTCAGGTACCCTTACCCTTACACCATGCATGGAAAATAGGAGATTTGCACATGAACAGGCCAAACCCTTTAATAATGTCACACAACTGCTTACTCGAAAGAGTGTGCGTGTGCACAAGTAGCAAGTCGAAAAAATTGAACATTTTCAATGTTTGGTCTTTTCTTAAATTATTCGACAAGCCGACGAAGCATTACCCTTGCAGAAATACGACTTATTTTTTTTTTAATTTTAAGCAAAATTGGTCCCCACAGTAAACAAAAAAATTAAAATATAATATATAAATATATCATTTAGGTCATTTAAGTTTTTAATGAATATAAATATATCAGATTCTTCTCATTATGCCTGACTGGACGAAGAAATACATGATAGAGCATTTGAATGTGTGTGCCTTTGCACCACAGGCACAAAGGGCACACAATTGAAGAAAAAATCTCTGGCTCGCGACAAACGCCGCGATCTACTTGTGAGCACACCCACACAACACAAACATATGTATGTATGTTTGTAGATCTCGGGGTTTTTGAGAAGCTATGCAGGGAGAAGGAGATGCACACAAGTGCGCAAAGCAATAAGTGTGAGCAAGGGGCACTCTGTCACACGCATATACACATATGTATGTATTTGGGCTGAAAAGATACATATATTACAAAACAGCATCAGCCGCAGCAACGTTGTGCGCTGAGCGGGATGCGGCTTCATACTGAACGTTCGGCTGTCGAGGCCGGCGTTCGGCTGCCACTCTCAGCAGTCTTACTTTGTCTGGGCACACTAAAATGGTCGCGGTCACCCATGGGGCTCAGTCGTTGACGATTTATCGGTATCCGATTATTTTGACATTTGACAAGTCTATGCATTGTATGGTTAGTGATATTACGCGTCAGTGCTGCAAGTTTAGCTATATTTTAAAAGAAACTAGTTAGAACGATATTCTAACTATATTCAGCATAATCAAGCACAGACAGACTGAAAGCCTATTTTAGCTATGCCATGAGTGGGCCAGGTTTTTAAATTTTTATTAATTAAAAATGCCATTTTTAGCGATTTTGATTCGGCAGTCTAGCTTTTGTTGGCAACACTATTAGGTAAATGAGCCGGCTATTGTTTTGACAAAAATCGCTTATTTTCTTCTCGCTTACCGATAAATCGATAATTTTTGACTCACCTGCCGTAAGCGGAGTCGTTGCTGAGCTTGGAACTGGCGCCGCGACGTGATGACTGCGATGAGGACATGGGATATCCATCCAGGCTACTCAACTCATCCGAATCACCTGATGGCGATGGTGTCATTACCTTTAGATCCTGTTGTGCTTGCATTTGTTGCTTCTGTTGGGCATGTTCCTGACGCTGCATGATATCACGACGCACCGAGGCGCCCACCTCCTCGCCCAGTTGCTTGAAATCGTTGCGCATCTTTTCTATCACATTCTTGGCATTGTTCGCCTCCACGTTGGGCGATGGCGATGTCGCTGCTGTGCTCGCCGTTGAGCTCAGCCTCTTCTTGTAACGAACGTGGCCAGTCTCATCAGCGAGCTCAGCATCGATCGGATCCTCGTTATCGCTAATCTTGCTGAACTTGGCATGCTCCGGCTCGTTGCCGTTCTCAATGTGGAGCACATCGATGGGTGTCTGAGCATTGCCCACCATGTGACGCAGCGAATCCGGCGAGATGGGCGACCGCCCCTGTGCATTCGGTTCCGTTTCAATGCTTATAAAGATTTCACGTTTCTGCGACTCCTCCACCGACTTCTGGGCCTTCTCCGCATGGCAATTGTTGCTGCTGCTGGTGGAGGCATTCGACTGCTGGCGCTGCAGTTTCTCATCACTGCTAGTCAAAGGCGTCTTGTATGAGCTATTGCTATTCGGCGGTGTTTTGTACGATCCACTGCTATTTGGTGTTGTCTTGTAGGAGCCACAGCTGGCCTGAGGCGATTTGTATGAACCACCGCTACTGGACACATTTGAATCGGATCTGTGGGCATGAGGCTCTTTAGTGGAGGGCGCATAGTACTGGGTCTTAGGCGGTGTTATAAATTGGGAGCTGTTGCCTGTTGTGGCTGGTCTTTGTGTGGCTGTTGGCGTCTGTGGTTGGGTCTGGGTCTGGGATTGTGTTTGTGGTGTTGAAGTCGCTTTCTGGAACGAGCGTTGTCGGCTCGTCGTGCGATTCAGCAGAAACTCGCGGCAATCCCGAAACAGCGGAAATTGCTCCTCATCATTCTCGTTCTCGAATGATGAGAGAAATTCCTCGAAATCAAAGTCATCAAACGTGGGCAGCACTGGCAAATTGGGTAAATTCAATGGATTGGTGGTAAGCAGTTGCTTCTGCTGCTGCTGCCAGCACTGCTCGTCGAACTCCAGGGAGGAGCGATTGGCCTCATCATCCGCACAGCTGCCCGACGAGATGTACTGCTCCTCTGGCGAGGCATCGTATAGAAATTGATTGCGCCCCAGACGCATCTTGCGCTTGAGCAGATTACGCGCCTCGCCGGAATGACGCCGCTGCTCCTGGCCCATAGTTATGGTTGACTGGGAGCTGCTGCGGCTCTGTGACAGCTGCTGTGGCGTGGAGCTGGCATCAGAGGAGCCAGCCGATGATTGCTGCACATTCAGATTATCGCAGGGATTGATCAGCTTGGGGTCTATGTAATCGCCCAAGCGATTGCTCCCAAAGATGCTCTCCAACTTGATGGGTAATGGTGCAGCATTGCCACTGTTGATGTTGTTGTTGCTGTTGTTGTTGGGCGAGACCAAGTTGTTCTCCTTGGCAACTGGTGGGCAGATGGGCGTTGTCAGCGGTGGTAGCTGACCGCTGTTTGGGTTTGCCGTTAGATTCTTGGCCGAGTTCTGCTTGCTTAGGTTGTTGCTCTTGTCCTTCAGCTCCTTGCTGCTGAGCTCTTTGCTGTTGGCCGCCACCTCGGCAGCCTTCGCGTTCAGCTGCTCCAGCTCGTGCTCGTACTTAAGGAATACGGCCAGCGAGTCGGTCTTGGCCACGTTGCGTGTCGGTTGCTTGGACGTGGTCGTGCTGTCTGTCTCGCTGCCGCCGCCACCGCCAAGCGGCAGTTTCATTTGCTGCTTACGATTGGAGGCGCTCGTGTCGCGACGCACGACACGCGGACTATGAAAATCATTGCCGCAAGCGGCACGCACTGGCATCTCGTCATACTCCTCCGGCTTGAGGAAGTTGCTAGAGATGGGACCCTCGTCGGAGAGGCCGCGCTGTATGGTGGGCCGATAGTTGGTGGCAAAGAGCGGTCGACTGGGCAGCAGTGGTGTGCGACGTGGCCCACGCAGAGATGAAGTGCGTCGAAAGTTCGATATTGGCGCTGCCTTTGGCGCCGTGCTCGTAGCGGTAGGTGTGGTCGTGTGTAATTTGCCCAGTGTGCTCGTCAGCGAGGTGGACATGATCGGTGTGGCTGTTGTGTTCACCAGTGGTTCGTTGTCGGGTGGTGTGCTGGGTGAGCAGAGTTCCTCCAGCTGACGTTTGGCGGACAGAAACGGATCGTACTTGTCGCTAGCCAGTGGGCTGGGGCCGCTGTGTGTGTGCATGAAACAAACAATAAAATCAGAGAGCAGAGAAAAGATTTGAGTTTTGACCCTAGACATTATGTTAAGCCCCGCCCCTCTGTGCGTCGCCTGGTTGTCGTCTGAAAGGATATGCTATAACAAACCTCTTGACGAGCGTGCGATCTGATCTGGGTGGCGAACGTGCTTGTTGGCGTTTGGTTGGCGATGGCGGTGCTTTAATATACATGGTGCCCTCCTCATCCTGCTCCAGCAACACCAGACGTCGGCTAACATTGGTTGGTGTTCTGCGCATCGATGTCTGCTTGACCAGCATCTTCTGCTGCAGCTGCTGATCCTCCTCGCTAGACGCGCCATCGTCCATTTCGTCATCGTATTCACTTTCAAGTAGTTTTGCCTTGTTTAGTAGCTGTCCCACTTCCATGTCAGCCTCATCGTAGTCTAGCTCATCCAGTTCGGCATCATCTAAATCGTCGTCCTGTTCCTCTTTATAGTGCCCCTTTAATCCGTTGCCTCGTTCAAGGTGTGGCAGAAAGTTTTGGCCCAACGCCTCCAGATTTTGCTTGAGCTCGGCCATTGGCACTGCGCGCATTGGCTGCGAGCTGTTCATGATGGCCGGCAGATGGGTGCGCTTCTTGGGACGGCATACAGTTTGAATGGTGCTCGTCTCCAGCTTGATTTGGATCTCGCCACGCGGTGAAGTTCTTTCGTCCTCCGAGCCCGAGTACAAATCATTGGATGATATGTGACGGAACGCTGCCGGGCTTGGCAAAGCACGATGACCCTGCTGTACGTTGGACAAAACCATCTCCTTGGAGGATAGGTCAAATTCGCTTAAGGACTTTGGTGGCTCCAGGGAGCGTATGTCAATGTTGGGATTCTCACGAGTGCGAATGCGGCGACGTGCTTGACGCACCAGCGCTGTGGAAGAGTGTATCTTGGGCGATACCTTCAAATCCTGCTCCTCAATATCCATTTTAATGTTGCAAATGTTTGTGCCACCTGCGGGCGTTGCAGCGTGCGGATCGAGAGTTGATTTCGTTGGGTTATTATTAGATTATAAATCAAATGAAATTCCTTTGCCTCAAAATTTCTAGCTAGTCCCTATTAATTTATTCCATTCTATGCCTAATTTAATATTATTTTTCAACAAAAATGGTCTTAATATTCCTCGAAGAATCTCTTACGATTCTTAAAGTACAAATCCAAGATACTCCATCTAGCTCTAGTCTTGGAACCCTTTCAATCTTATGGACTGCAACTAATGGAGCTTTATGCTTGGCTGATCTCTCAAATGCTTAAGTGCGCTGCGCATTAATTACGAACCATCAAATTGTTCCGCAGCTTTGGAAACTAATTATGAAATCATTTGAAGTTAATGAAGTCCAAGCACGCTACGGGGATGCGGAACCCTATGGAACTAATCTCAGCTATGAGTGGCAAGTAGAGCATTGCAATATTTGCTGATTAGTTTCTGGAAAGGAATTATTCTTCAGCTACTTCAACTACTAAACTGATCTACTAGATGGCCTGCAATTTACATCGACCATACCTTTGCGCTTGATCAACCCATTTAGCTCCTCAAAGGTCATTGTGACTTGGGGTGGACCGGCCATGCATTCGGTCGCTTCGGTCTTATGGCGATGGGACATAGTTTTACGCGATCTGGCAGGCTGCAGGGGCGCGGCCTCCGCGCACTCCAATTTGGCCAGGTGTAAAGTCTCCGAGGTAGCGGTTCGACGCAAACGCTGCACGGCGACATCGATTTCTTGGCATGTTTCGTGCTGTTTGCGCCTGGGATTCACATATGCACGCTCCTGATGGCCCATGCTCGACTCCTCGGCGGCCATACGCACACTAACTTTATTCTGGGCAACCGTTGTTGTTGAACTTGAGCTTGCCTTGGATTTGCGTGGTGAACACTGTGCTCCTTGAGGGGTTCCAGGGCGCTGCACCTTCATGGCTTGTGGCGCACCTCGCTGCGAGCTAAGTTGGTTTTTGGGTGGGGGTGGGTTGGGCTTTAGGTCAGTGGGTAATATACGAAGATCATTTGCTACGAATACATTGTGGGTGAGCGGTACACTACGCGACGGTGTCTACTGGGCAAACATTACTGCAGAATTAGTCAACTTCAACGACAACCATTAGCGTAACGCCAGATGGGCCAATCACGTGTTAGGCTAGTTAGTCTACAAATCAAATGGGCACATTTGCTATACTCACTTAACACTCTGCACGGACGCCGTCATGGAGGAGAGCGACATTAGGTTTTGCTTTGGGGATACCATTTCAGTCTCGTATTGTTCTTCCTGTGCACCGGAGTACTTGTCGCGATTGATCGAGCGTTTGGTTCTGAAACAAGCAAAAGAAAATTGAAAGAAAAACAAAAAAATAATTAACATTAATAGAATGCTGAAGAAATAAATGAGTTGTGTCAAATCTGACAGCTAGGGATCAGGGGGGCTTGGGGTAGCATGCTGAATTCTTACTTGAGATTTGGTGGGCGGTACTGCTTGCGCGCCTCCATGCGCTCCTTGGCCTTGTTTGTCTCTGTGGTGCTGTTGGACTTGATGTTCGCCTGAATTGCCTTCTCCTTGCACCACTCAACGTGGCGATCGTACGCCTTTGGATTGAAGCTGCGCTCACAATGCGGACAACGGTCCGAGGCGGAGTCCTTAAGGCGCTTGGCTATGGAACGTGTTGGGGCGGCTGCCGCTGGGGCAGCTGGTGCCGCCGCCGGTGGGTGCTCAGCAGCAGCAGCTGCAGTGGCCCCAGCACCTTTGCGCATGGAGGCGCGTGTCGTATCCGCTTTGGCTTTACGGCGTGTCGGCAATGGTGAAGCCTGCAAAAAGAAGAAGTTCGCAGTTAGAGAAAATAGCGTAGCCTTAGAGGAGCATTACTCGCCTCTTGGGGCTGCGAGCCGCTGGACATTGTGGAAGCCTCGCGACTGGCTGCGGGTGGCGTATGCACACCCGGCGCCTTTTCAGCATTGGGCAGACCAAAATTCTTGGGCAGCACATACGTGGATAGAGAGGTGCCCTCGCGACGCTGCCGTGACGAATCGAATATCTTACGCTTTTTAGTTGTCATCTTCTCGCAAACGACAACATGCTTGCGCAGTGCATTCAGATTGAAGGTGCGACTGCAGTTCGGACAGGGTGTTAGATCGGTGCTAATAGTTCCCTGCTCCAGAATAGTCTCAGACATGCCCGTGGTCAGTGGACCCGGTGGTGGGCCTACTGGCTCGTTATCATCATCCGCACCGTCAGGTTCCATTGTAGCTGTTGTTTCCCGACAAAATTATGAAAATAAAAAAATGGATTTTGATTATTATCGGATTGTGAGGCTTCAGTTGGCTGGGAAACTTTTGCAATGTCTGGTAGATTCTGTATAGCTTGAAACCTAAAACTAAATTTTACAATTCTAAGCAAAAGTAACAAATTCAAAACTCTAACTAAGCCAGCCTTCTATGATGATGAGATTCCGCTTCCTCATTTAGCTCAGCTAGTGACTTGGTCCTAACAGCTAATGGAAGTTGTAAGTTTCATTTATCTATGGTCTCAAGATATTTGAATATTAATCTTTCTATCAGGTAAAGAAAGCATTACAATCTAATACTAAATATTACCTTTTCGATTTAATTTTATTGTTGATTATTGAAAAGAGGGCACAGGGCGTTAAAATTTGCAACAAGTTCAAGCTTTGGATGAGTAGTATGATACGCAGGGCATTCATTCTAATGACCTAGAGCCATCAATATGGCAATAGAAGAATTTACATTTTCCATATTTTCTAATTAGAAAGTTCAGGTAAACACAGCCAGCACTTAAAGGTGCGAAAAGAAAGTGACTAAGAAGAAACTTTGTCAGCTGGCAAAAATGTTGGCAAAAGGAAGTGCCAAGTAAAAGGCCAAATCCGTCTGCAGACTGTTGGCCTTTGGCCAAGTGGCACGGCTTAGACTTGGGCCAGAAACCCTAAAACTTTCCAGCCGCACTCGCTGCATGCAACACATGGAAAGTATTTTCATATCACATGCCAGCATACTCATGATGTTGCAGTCGTTTGTTTTTTTGTGGACAAATTGCTTTTCCGGCGCCGTTTGTCACGTCAGCAATAACAAGCACAGAAAACGCCCAAAAAGCAGCCCTATAAATTCTCAGGCGGGCAAGACAATGGACAAAAAAGAAAAAAAAACAATCCACAAATAATTTATTATTATTATTTGGATTGTGTCTGCTTTTGGCTGCCTCAGCCTGTGTGATCAGCCTATAAATTGTTATTTATCTGCGAGCGACAACTGCCTCATGAAATGCTGTAATAGCCAAATTTGGCAGCTCGTCTGTACCAAAACTGTTGCGATTCGGTTGGTTCGGTTTGCTTTGTGGGCGACTGCTTTAATATCTGTATCTTGAAGATACAAACTATGCACATGACAGGTGCTTCAGCACAACGGCCCACGGTTAACCGGCTCACTTGACTTTTGCTGGAATCAAGTTGAACCCAAAAATGTGAGAATCTTATTGAATAGAACTGAATTGGAGCTCTTTATTTCTCACATACAAGTATGTTATTTAATTAAACTATTTAAACTTTTTATGCTGCACATTCTTCTAATCTTCCTTTTCCCAATTATAATATATTTATATTTTATCATAATCATATCATAGTTCTACTACTTAAAATAATGATATGATACAAATCATATAAATAATATAATTTTAACAATTATAATAATGATTAGAATCTTTTCTGTGTTTCCTAGTGGAATTCGTCAATTTCAAAGAAACTCGTTTTGGTAAGGCGAGAATCTTAGACCTTGTCTTTGCGGCAATATCATATAATATTTGTCATATCATATTTGTAGTCCAGCTGGCACATTAACAAAGTAAAGTCTATGAACCTGAACCATAAAAGTGTAAATAAACTTTGCGTGTGCCATTAAGAATTTTAATAAGAATCAACTTGTGTGCATTTCAGTGGAGATTATGACATACGATCCACGCTGCCAATTTAACAATAATTCAAAGACAATCCAATTATAACGAAGATTACATAAATCAACGGCACGCATAAATTTCTGCAACATGTTGAGAGTTGGCTTCAAGCTCGTCTCGTTCGCATTCATTTCAATTCAAATCAATGCTAGCTTGTACGCAGTCTTTCTTAATGTGTAATCCGATGAGAAGTGGGTGAGTGACTGCCTCAATGGATGACATGCTGCTGCTCCACACACGTTGGTGATGGGGCGTCCGTTGCACATGACAGCCTCGGCTTCGACTGCACCACCAACTGCCCCAGCACCACAATTCACATATGTTAATGATGCTTGGCGAACTCGCTGTTGCAAAATACAGATACAGATGCAGAGCTACTGTGGCCATTATATGATTATACTTATATGCATATCTTTCAACTATTTCCACTTGAGTTTTATAAATAAAAAGTGCACCGACTGGCCAGCCAAAGGAGCAACTGCCCAAACAGCAGGGCGCCCCAGTCTTCATGGAGTCTAAGCAGATTTTTGATTTGTGATCCAAGTGTTTAAAGTTCAAGAGTTCGAGAGTTTACTGGAACAAACCCTAATGGTATAAGTACTATTTCCTGGATCTTAAGAGAAGGGAGAGTTTTGCTTATGTATAAAGATTTGTGAGTTGATAATCTTATTTGAGTATTATGGTGTATATATAATCCAGACTAATTAAATGATTAAATCGGTAATAAAGTAACGTAATTCAAAGATTATTTATATTAATTTGGGGTATTGATATTTTAGGAGAAAAAGTAAGTATAGGAAATAAAATGAATATTTGTATAAATCAGTTGATTTTTTTTATGTTGATTTCACATAATATAGTCATATTTTATCTGACACGAAAAAAAATCTCTTTCGAAGAGCATATTTCACAAGAATAAAGAGGAACCCATTTAAATCTGGCTGAGATATTGGCCGTCCGTGTGTATTGCAGTTGTTGCTGCTGTGCATTGGGTAACCTTATAAGCCATTTAATTCTTCAACAGATCCATTTATGCAATATGTGAAACACTTTCATGTGGAAAAGCTATAGAGGCTATGCCATTATATGTTGAGGTTGGGCTGACTTTGTAATGCGAGATATTTCCTGGTGCCCCGGACTTTCAACTTGTGACAGCTTAATGGATGAAAAGTGTGTGGGACGAGAATATTAACTGGACAGTCGAGCTAAGAACTAAATGGTAACAAACACATATGCATACAGCATGCTTCTATGTGTATTACTGGTTATAGTTTATTGAAAGTTTGTCTACATGTGCTCTGGTTTATTTTAGTTAGTTTGCTTTGTACATTTTTAAAATAAATGTGTGCCTATAGATGGCCAAGTGACATCATTTGTTGTATTGTTTGCTGATAAGCATATAGAAAAAGTCATCGAAAGGTCTACAACAAATTATTTATAAACAAGATGTGACACAGAACCCCAAAAGAGATTAAACAAATTTAAATCATTTGTGAAATACTTCAGAGTTAAGAGCAGATATACATAGATGATTTTTAGATATGTTCAATGGAATGGTTTGTAGAAGTTTAAATATATAAAAATATAGTTCAGTAAGTTAGATTGGCAGAAGAATACGTTATAAATGATTAGATGATCATATCAACTTTCAGGTAAACGATAGAATAAGCAGATGAATCTTTGAGATATGATTTATAAAGATGGAAAGATGGATCTTGATACCTAGCTATCTTATGTAACTAGCATGATGGATAAACAAAAGGATGTTGAGTAGAAAACCAGATAGTTTTTAAATATATGTATGTAGATATACCTGATATACATAGGTGAGCAGAGTGTGTGCACAGATGCTAAGTCAGTTATATTGTATGCATAAATATTAGCTCAGTGACAAATCATATATAATATATCATATCATGTGGATATCTTATGCGGGTAGATTAATTAATAAAACAATGTAAAGACCATCTAGGTGATAAGTAAGATTAAGATAGACTGTTAAGTACTACATGTAGTTAGTACATAGTTAGTGAGCAGTCGAGTCTTTATATAGTCATTGTACACTTGATATCTGTATACCTCTATAGGCAATGTACTATATAGATGATAGATATATTTATGTGGATAGTTTTTATCTGAAATATCTGAAACAAATACTGGCATTTTACAGATAAACTGATAAATATTCCCAAAAATTGCTCTGTTTTTATTTCTGTTGCTATATACATTATAGACATAAATAAACTATCAAAGTATTTAGTTCAACTTTTTCACAAATAGCCCCCTGTTGCCCCTCTGTGCTACTTTCACGCAAGTAAATTGAAAGCTCTAAATCATCATTGAAAATCATTTAAATATAAATTAAAACGGTTTAACCAATTGGCAGTTGCAAGAAAGTTTATCAATTGTTATTAATTTACTTGAATTAGTTGTTGCTGTTGTTGTTGTTGTTGGGTTGGCATGCAAATGATTAGCGAAGTTAGTAGCAGTATTAGTTGTTGTTGTTGTTGTTCCTGATGCTGCTGCTGCAGCGACATCGATCTGATTGACTATAATCAAAACATGCTGCAGCTGTGCAGCTCCCACAGCTGTGGGCTTAGGCGTGGGCGTGGGCGTGGGCGTGACGGACTCACTTGACTTGGCATTGGGTGTTTGCTTCTTGTTGTTGCTGCTGCTACTGCTGTTGTTGTTGTTGTTGTTGCGTCGCAGTGAGAATGTGTTGCGTACGCGCGAAAATGTTGATAGATGTTGCGATTGTTGCTGCTGCTGCGGCAACGGTTGCTGCTGCTGCTGCTGTTGCGCCTCACTAAGCGCCGCCGAGTTGAAAGAACTTTGCTGCGGCTGCTGCTCAAACACATTGATGTTGCCGCTGCCGCTGCCGCTGTTGTTGTTGCCGTTTTCGTTTTCATTTTCACTGCAAAAACGCAAAACTGGCGATTTTTCACCATTGAGCAGGTCATTTAATTGCTGATACTCCTCGTAGATGCCGCGACTGTGGCGCTTATTGATTTTATTCAATTGCTGCTGCTGTTTTTGCGCCTTCGATTTGAATATTTTGTGCCACATTTTCTTGCTCATTTTGTACGTTATTTATATGTATATGCTTTTTTTCTTTCGATTTTTCGTTATTTTTATTTCGTTATTTTTAAATGCCACATTGCAACGCACGCACGCGCTTCCCTTTGCCCAATTCGCCGCTCTTGCAAACTTCACGCGCCGGCGTCTTGTGTCCAACTGAGCGCTGGCAACATCAACAGCGCGCCGCCTGGCAACATTTAAGCTCACGTCATGTTGCCGGCAACAGCTTTAACAGCAACATGTTGCGGGCGCCTATTTTGCATTTAATTAAAAATAGCTGCACTCCAGCTGCCTGCGCTTGACGTTGTGTGGGTGTTGCAACAGCAGCAGCAACAACAACAACAACAACACGTTAAGTAACAAAGGCTGCTATTCTTTGTACCCTGCTCCCCTCCGGCTGGGCTTTACGGCTGATTTATTTAAAGGCGCCGCACAAATGTTGCTGAACTTTGGCTGCTTAGATATATCTTCCACTTAGCTTACATTCAAATAGTTGATTGTTTTTTCTTTTACTTTTCTTCTTCATTTTGAATTGAAATTTGGCATTAAGCGACTTCCTCTAGTCATCAGTCAATCAGCCAACTTCAAAGGCGCCAATTTCCTGTGGCGTCGCTTTCCATTGATAAATTTCACAGAAAATCATAAGACTTTGGGTGTAGGCCACACATAATTATGCCCTATTATGGCCAAAAATGTACAGTTGCATAAGTGCGCCAAAAAAGGTAGCTGTAAATGCAGTTGCAGTTGCAGTTGCAGTTGTCGCATCAACATTGGCCGATCTCAGCAACATTTCGTGTTGCAGGCGGCACACATAAATAAACAGCTGGCAATGGAATTGGAGACATATGTGGCTGATTTTAAACATATTAAATAAAGGGTATATGCACTTTTAGCAAAAGCTTGACATTTTGAAAAGAAAGCAAACAATTGCTTATTTATTTATTGACAATCAAATTTAATTCACATTCCAAATTTACAAAGGATACGAATCTACTTCATTCAAAACAATATCCCTCTTCTGTCAAGTCATGAATTTTTTTATAGGGTATTCCAGCTTCGCTCTGTATAGGTTAAGTTATCATTCTTCTTTTACAGTTTCCTTTCGATTTTTGTTGTTTCTTTTTTGGTCGCTTCTGTTTTTAATTGAAATGCGAATGCACTTTTGAGTGCCTCGTTTCGTATACGTGTATCTGTATCTGTGCCTGCCTCTGTATCCGTATCTGCCTCTGTATCTGTATCTGGCGATCCGTACGATCCCATTTGCTCTGCGATAAAGTCAACTTGATGCTAACCATAATAAATCACAATAGGCTCCAGCTATATCCGCAGTCTCTTCCAACTCTCGTTGACAGTTGACAGTTGGCCCGATGACGTCAGAGGATGGGGCGACTCTTATGCAAGTTGCCTTGAGAAGCATTTCTTCGATTATTGCACGTGCCCAAGGAAATGCTGCCGACTAATGAACTTGGAACACGCCATTGTTCTGTATATATATATATACATATATACCATATATTGCATCTTGTATCTGGTGTCTCTCTCGGAATTATTGATCCAACAACGACATATTCCCATAGATAGTAAATTTAGCTGTCTGCGGGTCGTCGGCATCGTTTGTGGTCGCCCACGCGCCTCAGACCTGCCATAAAACTTCATAATCTCTTCTAATTGTCACGCCTTGGGCATGACAAAAATAAATGTTGTATCTTGCACTCTACTTTGGTTGCTCTCGATGATTTTCACGGCACTGTCGCTGGCGAAAAGAAAGGGCGCGTGCTTATAAATAGTGCACTTGGTTTGCTTGGTTGGCATTTTGGGAGCAGGGCCTACAAAATGAACTCAATTTTTATGGGCAAATAACATTCAATGTTTCATATGCCCGAGCCAGTTATGTACCAAATATACTGAGAGAAAATGTCGCGAATAAAATAATAAGATTTTTGATAAATGCTTGGCAAGAGTTATATTAGCTGAATCAAAAATCAAATAGGGTAGCAAAAAAGGCGGGTAAGCAAAGTAGACGAGTCGGTTTTATTATTACAAATAAAACCAATGGATTAAAATGTTAGGAAATCTATGTGGAGCAGCAGGCATTATATAGGAATAATTTACTTTTATTTTTCAAAATATTTTAAGCAAATGAATTAAGTTAATGGATGGCCAGCATAGCTGGGACATAAATGTTCAGCTTCAATGAAATATAGAATTATGTAACACATTTAAGCTTGCCTTAACCAATCAGGAGTTTTTGGGATTTTAAGTGAATAATAGGAGTAAATATATATATATATATATATATATATATATCAACTTTAAATATATTACTCAACTCAAGAAAATGTATAGGAATCCTTAAACAAAAATTATACCATTTTCTTAACACAAATTAAGTAACTTTAGGCACGAGGAAACGCAATTCCCAATTTGTTTTTGATAGTGCAGAAAAAACAGCCTTACCCTCTCTCGCTCCCTCTCTCTCTCTTTCTCTCTCTCTCTCTCTCTCGCTCCTTCTCTCTCTCTTTCTCTCTCTCTTTCTCTCTCTCTTGCTCTACCCCTCTCTCTCTAGCTCTTCGTGAATCCATAAACATGCCGCTCTTGTTGCAACAACTTTTAGGCGTATTTTCTACTAATTAAGTTCTATTTCTTTCAGTCATCAGCCGCCAGACTTCCATCTATACTGCACCCACTCTCCCTTGCAACCCCCTTCCGCCCCACCACCCCCTCTGCACTGTTGCAGCGTTGTAATGAAACCATTTCAGTTTATTGGCGCTCCCCTTGTAACAAAGTTTTCTTGTTGTTGTTGTTGCTTTGCTCATGCGTTGTTTTTCCTGAGTTTTTGTTTTTCGCTTTTCCGAACGCGTTTTGCAGATTGCACAATTTTCTGTTCTGTTTTCAGTTCAGCAATTTTCTTGTTATTGTTATTGTTGCTGCTGTTGTTGTTGTTTGTTGTTAATACAAATTGATGTTGATCTATTTGTTGTTTGGCCTATGTTTATCATTGTTGCCGCTGCTGATTGCTTTTTAGAAAGTGTGAAAGACTACGTATCACATAGAGACAAGAGTTCAGCTTTGCATGGGATAGTTAATTGAGACGGGTAATTATTAAATTGATTTGTACTACAATGGGAATGGGTCAAAGGGCAAAAACGATTAACAACTGTGCTGATGAATGTGTATGTCTACTATTAAATAGTTAAAAAGAAAAAAGAAATGTTTCAATTTGGAATTTTTCGAGCCAAGCAACTTAAGATAGTCTTGGACTTCATATATTGTCAGACTACTTTTAGTTAGTTATTTTGTAATATATCTTCAGTATCAGAAGTTAATGTCCTAAATTCCCTTTGGGTCTCTTGTCACACTACAATCATAAAATACATAAACAAACATCCAAAACGAGTTGTCATAGAGTTTACGACATCCAAACACGTTAATTTTTAATTTATTAAAATGCAAGTTTCAGTACAATAAAAACATTATAAGTATATATATATATATATAAGTATATTTATATACATATATAAATTTTAATTTTTTCCCTTTATTAATTTCACATATGCTAATAAAACAGCCAAAATTAAACTGCCATACTACTTTTTTTCGTTTAACAGCATAACGAAAATCGTAGTGGTTGTCTACAACCAAACGTAGTAGCCTTGTGCAGCTCGGCAACACTGCACAGTGCTTAACAGAAAGCTTAAGCAAGCTTTCCGCTCGAACTGCAAAGTTTAACAGTAGCAAATGTTGTTTGTATGTTAAAAATTACACTGGAATTATTTACAAACTGAAAGCTGGTTTGAAAACTTCAAAACCTAATATAATAAAAGTTCATTTAAGTCGAATTTAGATAGAAAGATCCGCATAGAAATAATTACCCACAATCTAATTAGAAATGTCTGTCAAAAAGCGCTAAAACCCAAGACAGGTTTTGCAGACGTGCAAATAACAATATGAATACAATTTGTCAATAACAAATAGTTTTGTTTTTATTTTTATTTTTGTGAATTGGCAATAAATTTTGTTGTTGTTATTGTGTTGGTTGTCGAATGAATTACGTTGCAAAAAATCTATGAAAACTGGTTGTATTTGACTTTGGAATTCGTTCTATGTGCAAAAACGAAACTGGAATTTGTCTCTATTATTGTTGTGGCCTATCGTGTGGGCTTCTAAAGCAGTTGAATGTAGTTCAATGTCAAGGAAACTCACGCAGAGTTCGCGCGTAGCTTAAGTCCGAGTCGGTTAAGTGGGCTGGTAAATGGGTCACGCCCCGTGCTTAGCCATGCGGCGACTGTAACGGGCCCAAAAGTTGCGCCTATTTAAGCCAAATATGAGGAAAGACCCATTACAAGACGCCTTTAAACCAGATATGTGACACTGAGCATACTTTGCTAATACCTGACTTTGATATTGACGCATTGTCGAGCATTAGTTAAAACTGGCACGCAATTTTGAAACGTGACTCGATTTGAAAAGTATCTTAACGCTCGACTTCTGTCAGGCGCTACTTCCCAGCACCAAATACATATACACATAAATTATTGAATATGTTTATTAAATACCTTCCACTGGTATTAGTAGAAGAGCAAGAGGAAGAATAGAGGAGTGGCATCTTGAGCTGGCGAATATTCAATTCGCTTGTATTTGAAATTCGACTTTGGGTAAAATTAAATAATAAATATCATAAGCATAAGTATATTTAATTATAATTAAAATTTTCAAATTATCAACATTTAGATAATGTGTGAATAATAAGTAATAAAGTGTCTACATAAATTATAGTTGACTCGTTTTTTATGTAATTTGATTTTGTATACCCTTGTAGAGGGCATTATAATATTGACATGAAATGTGTAACGCATAGAATCAGAAATCTCCGACCCCATAAAGTATATACATATATTCTCGATCAGCATCAACAGCAGAGTTGATATAGCTGGTCTCTCAGTTTTAAAGCTATCATTCTGAAACTTTGCATAGGTCCGTCTTTCTGAGGCTGTCTGCTACACATAAAGATTTTA